ATCAACACAAACCAGACAAACTGTGAATCCTACAGTATCAAGAATTTACTCATTTATTCAATGACAATCATGCCATCATCTTCTGGAACATCATCATAACAATCCAATTCCTGAATTTCCTGGTGAATTTCTTGTGACTCCATTTCTTTCAGAATCAGTGGACCACATCTCTCATGTTTAGCCCGGGGTGGGGGGAGGGTATTTTTTTGGGGGGGATGCCTTATATTTCACTCTGAAGGAAACCTGTAAGTAGGTCTTATTTTCGGAGGATGTCTTATTTTCAGGGAAACACGGTAGCAGAAGAACTCCAACTAGTAAGTGAGACAAGGTCAGAAGAGTCAGATGGGTGGTACCAGCATGATCCTATCTTTGGGAAAAGGTTCCAGCCAGGAGGTGGACCTTTGTGGTCCAATTTCTAAGAGCAAGAACTAGAAAAGTGTAGGTTTAAGGCAGTTTAGTCCTACTGGGCGAAACAAAATGTTAAATCAGAAATCAAGACTGAAATTCGGTCACCTAGACTGGGCACTCTAAATGAGGAAAAGCAGAGGGGAGGCTCACGGTGGCCATTAATGTTCAGGATTCACACTGAGTAGCCAAACATCTAGCTTAGAACATCAAATTTCCAAAACCTGAGGCAAATGGAGTGGCCAATATCCTGCCTGCCATATATATATAATACATACTAAATTACTGTCTACCATGCAATATCCCATAGAAATGTCATTTATTATTAATACTGAAAAATAATTATTGAATATAAATAAATTAGGATTGAATAACATTCACATGGGAGTTCTGAAGGAACTCAAATATGAAAATATCAAACTACAAGCTAAAATATATAATAGCCACTGAGAGAATTCAATAATTTTTCAGTTATTCCTAAAAGAGGGCTCCAGGGGATCTCTAGGAACTATAAACCAGTGAGTAAACAAAAAACATTTCTCATCACAAGTTGAAAATTTTTCCATATTAAAAAATAATTTCTAGTCATAAAATTTTATCCAAAGGGAATTCATGCTTCCATAGTTCTTCTGGAGAACAAACATTATGGTGCATTTGAGCTAACATACTGCATGCAGATCATATTTTTTTCATCTCCAAAATGAAAATCTGCAAATGATTAAAGATAAAGACTAGAATAATCACTCTCTAAAAATGATACAATAAAAACATTAATTATTTTCTTAGTAAAATAAAGCCAAGAGAAGATGTTACATGTTAATAAAATCATACAGGGTATTGATAACATGAACATAGAATTCTTCAAAACAAAAAGAAATTCCTTAATACTCAGAGAAGGTGGTCTGAGAAAAAATAAGAAGAATTAAATTTATAAAATATGTGGTAATATAGGGAATTCATTACTCCAATTATTCCAGCTAAGAATGAAAATATAAGCTTATTTCAGAAGTAGAAGGTAAGTGAAGGAACAATCTATCTCTCCAGGGTGGTCTGACTCTTCACTGGCATTTCAGACCTCTAAAACAGGAGAGGCTACATTCTATGCAACAATACAGGCTGAGCACAACCCTCCATCCCTCTCTGCTAACATGCCAGATACGTGCACAAAGCTCTTGGACTCTCCAGTCCAAACCAACTATTAAATGAAAACCATGCAGAGACCTCTGTCAACACCAAATCAAACTGTGCTTGACCAACAAAATCATGAAATACAATAAATTGGTTGTTGTTTTCATACCAAATTTTGTGTGTCAGAAGCCCCAAGAACACCCACAGAGATTCCTAGGCCTCACAAAACTCAGCATATAGTCAAATTCATGGCTAAAATTTCTTACAGCAAAATACTACAAAGTGGAATAAGCAAAAGGAACAGACATATGGCAGAGTCCAGAGGAAAACAATGCCAACTTCTAAGAGTCCTCTCCCAGTGAAGTTGCTCAAGATGCACTTGAATCCTAAAATGGCACTGAACTGTGACAACCTACGTGAAGTGTTGCCTACTGGAGAAGCTCATTGAAGACAGTGCCCAAAGGCTTTAATGGAGGCTAGTCACTTAGGCACCCTCTGCCAGACTCTGAGAAAAGCAGGTGCCCATATATATATATATATATATATATATATATATATATATATATATATATATATATATCACTAGAGGCCTGGTGCATGAAAATCATGCATAGGTGCAGTTCCTAGGCCTGGCCTGCAATTGAAGCACAAGTGTCTGGCATGGAAGGGTAGGTTCCAGCTGACCTCTGGGCCCTGGGCACCACCTGGGGCCCCAGGACCCCACAAACCCCCTTCCGCCTGAGTCACGGCCCCCAAGTCCCCATGTGGAAATGCAGTGAGCACAGCAGTCACCATGGGACAGGGCACAACATGGACCTCTGGGCCACCCAATGGTGCTACAGAGAAGCTGGGAGGGCAGCCCACTCTCTCCTCGCAGACCGGCTCCTGCATGAACCCCTGCAGTCCCAGCAGCTATGGCCCAGCTCACCCCGAAGAGCCGAAGAGCCGTGCGGGTGTGGGGCAGGCTCCTCACAGGTGCCCAGAACCTGAGTGTGGGGGCTTCCACGGCACACGTGCCCTGGTGTCCTGGGGGAGGGTAGCAGGTGGAATGACATCCCGAATTCTCACCACATGTCTGTCCCCACCCCCATCCCCCATCTCCAGGAAGCCGGTGAGAGGTCGCAGCCCACACATCCTTCCCCAGGTGCCAACAGAGGTTGGCCGCTGACCCCTGGTGGTCAGCACATGTCATAGTGAGCAATTAAACTCTGGGTCTCCCAGTTGAACTCCCCATCGAATGACCACTCGAGGGACAATTTGCATTATTAGGCTTTTTTTATATAGGATTTGTTTGCACAAATAATTTAAGCACAATGACCATTTAGGAAAAGTTTTAGATCTGTATAGAAAACTGTTTACCATTCACACTCACAGATGCCAGCCAAAGGCCATATTTGTAAGCATTTTTGTATCTAAGAAGAGCCAACTCAAATCTATATTAATTGCATTTTGCACATACAGTAAGAGGTAATTGAAACAACAGCCACATGTTATTGTCAAAAACAATGTATTGGGCTACACAAACCACTGCCTGGGACTGACCTAAATGGCATATTTTCTGTTCCTTGGGAAAAAATTAAATTAAAGGTAATTAAAAGGAATCAGTGTGTAAAACAAATCACACTAAATAGTATTTATTTTTGAGATATGCATAATTGCAAACAACCACAGAGTAAACTTAATATCTGAAAATTAATGGTACATCTGAAGTCTCCTAAAGGTTGGCCTTGATAAGAATTACAGCACTTGAAAAGTAATAACCTAATGGTAAGTTGTTACAAGGCAAAAGCAAACTAATGTTCAATGTTATAATGAATCTGTAAAGAATCAGATGATAAAACTTTAAATTTAATAAAGCTTGTCACCAAAAATTATGGTTATCATGAAAACTTATAGTCTTGGAAAAAATATTAACAAAATCAGTATTTAGAATTTATCTAATTTTAATCACAAATTGTACTGAAAACATTTAGTGTAAGGAGAAAAAGTCCATTTACATACTTGATCTAGAAATATTTACTCAAGTACTAACAGGAATTATATACTAGTATATACAGTCAATCCTCATTATTTATAGATTCTGTATTTGTTAATTTACCTACTCACTAAAATTAAATTTTAATTCCAAGATCAATACGCTAGGTTTTACGGTCTCACATACAGAAAAGTGGAAAATTTATATTGCCCAAAGAACAGATTTCTACCTGGCATAGACAAAATTTCTCCAACTCAAAAAAATTATAACTATGTATGATAATGGGTATTAAATAGACATATTTTGGAGATTATCGAATCATTATGCTATCCACCTAAAACGAATTTAATGTTATATGTCAATTATACCTCAATGAAAAAAATAAAAGGATGATAATTTTTCGATAGATTAGATATATAACCTAAACCAGTCTGTCATAGCTCTATGTAGACACTAGAAAAAGTTTTCATGAGAATCTCTTAGCCAGTGAGTATTCCCAACAGTGTTCTGCTTTTGAAATTAGAAATTAAGCTTTAAGGGGAAGTTTTAAAGGCAGTAGAACAGGAAATACAAATATCATTGAAAATAAGTTTATGAAGAAAGTCAGGAGCCTCCACAAACATTTCCATATTCACTTTGGATTTATTCCTAGCAAATGTCAAGAGTCTCCTGTGTAAAATTCCTCTGAGGGAAGAGATTCACTGCTAAATGATGTGGCTGTATTAGAAATCCAATTAAATGGAGGCCAAGTTAATGGGTTTGCATTACAATTATTTCATTCCTTAATTAGATAAATGTGAAGTTCACAAATAATTATGTATTTGTGGGGGGAAAAACTATATATTTTTTCTGTAAAAAAAAAGCAATATTTGGATTTTAACATGTTAAAAACTCAGCCTGGTTTGTCTTCTGGACAAAAAGTATAGTGTCAGTCACTGTGATTGACATGGGACTTAATGAGTTAATTTTGATTTGTGTTTTCTTTCTGTCATTTTTCTCATGCATATGGAGCAAAATTTTTATACTACTACAGAAAATTTCATCAACAAATTGAAAGAAAAATCATATGCTTATAATAAATACAAACAAGTATTTCATAAAAATTCAGTGATTCAGTAACTTAGTTACCAAATAAAAGTATTTAAACATAATAATTCTTAGTAAAACATTAGTACATAGAGAAATATTCTTTAGATTTTTCTAATTAAATGTCTGAGAAACTCTTAATAAAGCAAAATGCCTAAACTATGATATGGTTAGACAGTGGGAATTGAGAAAGAAGGACAAATTTGAAATTTTCTACACATATATCTCAAACCTATGCCCCTCCACACACACACATACACACACACACACACACACACACACACAGAAGCATGCACATATCTATGTATACATTTACCTATACGAAAACCATAAAATTATATGTATTCCCTTACAAACAACATATGTAACATACATAATAATGCATTTGTCTTTATTCTATGTTTACCTGTTTGGGCAGTCGGAACAAGGAATTCTTATAGAAAATGTCCTTAGCTTGGCTCCATGTACCATCGATGATGATGATTGTGGAAGGATAAGTAGGAGAATCTAATATAAACTCTTCCAAATTAGCAGCTTCAGCCCCTGGATATAATATTAATGTACCAGACTTCCGACAAACAGTTGAAAGTTCAGGATCTCTAAAAAAAAAAATGTTTTTTTAATCTTTATTACTTTGTGGAGTAACAAAAAGTTTTATTATTCTTATTGAAATTCATTCCAAAATATATATCAAAGCATTTTGGGACTGAAGATATATAAAAAGATAGCCTCCATCTACTCTACAGGAAACAAAACAAGCTTGAGGGGAAATGAGACAAATTAAAAAGTCAATTAAAGATAATAAATGGCATCTTCAAACCAGTAAAAGGCATCTACAAAAATGTATGGCCAATTTCATATTTGACAATGTTCTTTGAGATTGGGATCAAGGTAAAGATGTTGGCTTTCACCCCCATTCCTAATAATATTATTTGGAAGGTCCCAATTATTATTGCAATAAGGCAAGGAAAAAAAGGCATAAAAATTTTGAAAGAAGTATAAACAACCCTATTTGCAATGCTAATCCTACTTACACATAGAGTCCTAGAGAACCTACAAAACAATTTCTTCAACTAACAAATGAACTTACAAAGTCACTGGATATAGGGTTGATACGCAAAACACAACTGTTAAAAAAAATAAATAAATAAATAAATAAAAATAAAATAAAAACACTACAGAAACCCCAAAAGCTTTCTTATACAATAGAGGTAAAAAGTTAAAAAAAAAAAAGTATTTTTAACTTCTATTTATAAAGGATACCAAAAGTAATGCCTCATAATCATTCCCCTATCCTTATATCACATATTCTAGGAAAAGTTTAAATTGATATTACCAGAGTAATATTAAATCAATAATCTTAATGAGCTTTAAAATCCATCAGTGAATAACAATTTACTGAGTAAGCACTATATTAGGCACCATGGAAAAAAATGAACTACTTAATATAATGGACTCAAAATGAGATAAGCTATTTGTAAAAGTGTCAAGCTTCTTATCCCCAAGCACATTCACAGAGGGGGTTATATAGCCAAAATGTCAGAGATGGTCCAATAGCTTCCATTTCTACCACCATAGGTGCTCATCACTTTTGCAATAAAATAACCTAGATTCAAGCTGAGAGATTATGTAGGACCCTATTCCACCTATATATCCACATCCACCCACAAATTATAGAGGAACTATCATAAAGAGCCTCTGTGTGAAAGAAGTGTCACAGTGTAAATGATGTTGCTGTTCCTCATGTGATAAGCTCTGGATCTTGCTTCCATTCCCAGCAAAACAGCAAAATTCCCAATAGCAGCACCGCGCACAGAGCAAATTTCTCCTCTGTGGGCAAGGCTATGCAAAAACTACAACACAAACTTCTATATGAGAAAAGTGTGTCTAACAGTTTCGGAGAAAAGAAAAATATTGTTATTTAAAGTTCTAATATGATGTTATTTTTACTATATGAAGCTAACTTATAAAGGAAGCTAAAATAATTAAGGAAAAAGCTTGGCCAATTCCCGGGGCTTCATGTTAGTACAAGTGTCACTTAGCATTTTTCTAAGTGACCCAAAAATGAAATCTCTATATTTTCATGAGAAATTAAAATTTCCATCAAGAGATGTATTTAATTGTGTAGACAGAATCAAAGTAATTTGAAGGCTTTGTGAATGGGCAGAAAAGCAACACAGATGATTCAAAGGTATAAAAAGACTTGTAGAAAATTTAAATATACTGTATATATTAAAGCATATAATATATATTTATAATTATTTATGTAATACAATATAAAATAAGATCCAAGAACATTATAGATCTGTCAATAAGATATCACCTAATGGTAGCTGTACATAAAAATACAATACAAACTTCTAAATATATGAGAAAAGTGTGTCTAAATAAGTTTCAGAGAAAAGAAAAATATTATTAAAGTTCTAATATGATGTTATTTTTACTATATGAAGCTAAATTATAAAGGAAGCTAAAATAATTAAGGAAAAAGCTTAATTAACATCAAAAAGAACATTTTTAAAATATTTTTTTTATTTCAGAAGGGAAGGGAAAGGGATAAAGAGAGAGAAACATCAATGAGAGAGAAACATCAGCTATTTCTTGTACACCCCCTACTGGGAACTGAGTCCTCAACCCAAGCATGTGCCCTGACCAGGAACTGACCCATGATACCCTGGTTCACAGGTTGATGCTCAATCACTGAGCAGCATCTGCCAGGCAAAAAATAACAGTTTAAATAGGACAAGAGATTGTGTTTTATACTTAAAAAAAGTAAATGATGTGCCTATAAGTAGGATACTAAATATAGTTCTAGTCACTGTATGTTAGAAAAGCCTTAATGAGCTAGAAATAGATAGATATGTATTTACTTATATACATGTATCTCATACATAATGTAAAAAAATAAAAATATGGAACTAAACCATCTAAACTAAAATGAAATAAACAGTAAATATGTCTTTTGGCTCAATATATATTAATATGCAATTTGAATAATGCTATCATTCCTTTGTTTATTCCATTTTGGTCTGTTTTAGAGAAGTGTTTTTATGTTTTGCTTTATCTTGTATAATTTTGAGAGAAAAGGCAGAACTTAATTTTTTTTACCATTTCCAATGTACCACATTCTGGGTCTAAAGAGTAAGTTTAAAGAAATCATTTTTAAAGATCTATGGAGAAAAATCATTTTAAGTTGCCCTAAAAGTTAATTTACCTTTCTTCACTAAAACGACGACCAATCTTGACTTTACACTTGTCCTGGGGGAGGCATGCTGCTAGTAGAGGAACTGTCCGCAACACTTTGCTTTCCTTTAATTAAAAAATTAATTAAACTGTAGATTTTTACTTAGCCAAACACACTTTGAACATTTCACTCCTAACATTATACAGAATTTTCACAAGTCTTTTACTGCAGACCAGTGTTTAATAAAAAGAACTACCATTTTTCTGCTTTATCTATAGTAAATCTACTACAAGTATACATTTTTATTCTACTTGGTTATATTTTAAGGTTTAATGGTCAAAACAAGATAATATTAAATCATAGTTAAAATTATGAAAAATATAAATTTGTGCTTAACTAAATTGAATCATTTATTCTGACAAACTTTTTATTCCATTAGTAATTACCTGAAGATAACTGCCTAGATCTTTATGCTCAGAAAGCAAGGAAGATTTCAAAAAACAAAACGATGGAGGATATCAATGACACATAGAAGCCAATCTTAAGAGCTCCCAATGGCCAAAATGGAACAATATGAGCAACAAAATAAGTTAACATAGCATTTGAATTATAACCCAAAGTATAAAATAAGAGTCCAGATTTATATAAGTAAATAAATGGAATAAAAGAAATAGGAGAATTCCAACTAATAATGTAAATACTTCCCACTGTAGGAGGTAGAGCTTAATCTCTCCCTCCCACTTGAGTATGGGCTGAATTTATGGCCTTACTTCGAAAAATAGTGAGTATAGAAATGGAAGAAAAATATATTTTAAAGTGGAAAAATCTGGGGACCATATTTATAAATCCCATTATCACAAGTGGTTTTTTTAATGTCCTAGCATCTAACACTAAAAAACCTTTCTTGTTGTCACAGGAATTCTATCCTTAATCCCAGCAGAGCCAGGTGATTAGCTATTCTGCATTAGCCTGCATTTATCTTGGTGATTTCATAGTGCTCAGTCATTCCTTGGCACCTCGGTTCCAACTGGGAATGTCATGCTTGATTGAATATATAACACAGCCCCTTTCTAATCAGTTTACCTACATACAATCCAATATTATCTTTATCAGTTTATATAATCCTGCTTATATAGATCCTTGCAGTGAATAATTTGATGATCTTTGTGTATGTGAAATAATGAAATATTATTTATTTTACTTTGGGAATATCATTTACCTAGCAAATTAATACACAAAACAATAATGTTACATATGAATTTACTAAAAGAATTAAAAATAAATAAATTTATAATTATTTGTTAACACAAATAAAAAGTGTTGCATTTCTCCTCAATCCCCTGTAGCTATGCTGGATCACAGCTGCAGACACAAGCCCATCTTCCACATGATGGGGTTTGTTAAAGTTGTCAAAACTAAGGCCTACTTCAAGAGATACTAAGTGAGATTTAGGACATGATGAGTGATTCCTGGATAAACTCGGTAATCTAGGATAAAAATAAATACAACACACCCAAATACAGGATGACAGTTCGGGTAACAAACAGACACATCATTTGTCAGACTGCTTATGCCAATCTGAAAGAAGATGTGATAGTTGTGTAGCTTATGCTCATAAACTCCCAAAGTATGGGGTGCAGCTTGGCCTGACAAATTATGCTGCAGCACATTGTACAGGCCTGCTGCTGGCCTGCAGGCTTCCCATAGGTTTTGCCTGGATAGGATCTGTGAGGGTTAAATGCAGGTGTCAGAGACGAATACAATGTGGAAAGCACTGATGGCAAACCTGATGCCTTCTCCTGCTATTTTACTGCAGAGCTTGCCAGAACTAATACTAGAAATGAAGTTTTTGATCCCTAAAGGAAGCTGTGGAAAGAGACTGGTCTATCAGTTCCAAATGATTCCCTGCTTATGATTTAGAGAGCAAAGAATTCAATGCACAAGTACATTAGAAGCACATCATGGGTCAGAACATTGCAGAATATAAGCATTATCTAATAGAAGAAGATGAAGATGCTTATAAGAAACAATTATCTCATACATAAAAAAACACATAACTCCAGACATGATGGAGGTGAAATTTAAGAAAGTTCATGCTGCTATACAAGAGAAACCAGTCTATGAGAAGAAGCCTAAGAAAGAAATTAAAAATAAGAGGTGGAACCGTCGCAAATGTCTCTTGCCCAGAAGAAAGATCAGGTAGCTCAGAAGAAGGCAAGCTTCCTCAGAACTCAGGAATGGGTTGCTGAGAGCTAATAAACCAAGTCATAATTTTCTATAAAGATTTTCAGATACAGACAATAATATATTTATTGATTAAACAGCAAAACAAAAGTACTGTTGCAAAAGTATTCACCATTCTTCACCACCAAACACACACACACACACACACACACACACACACACACCTGTTGGGGACATTTTTGTGTGTACTTTTTCCCCTGGTTTCCTGAATTATGAAAATAATAATAAATTATTATCAAAATAAATTTAAAGATGCTGAGAGTAGCTAAATTCATTTACCTAATAAAAAGTAGAAAAGAAAATAGGAAATTAAATATTTGCTGGGATTTTTTTCAAGAACATGTAGCAAGCTGGGGTTCTAAGGAAACATGAAAACAGCAATTTGGAGCAGTTAATAATATAAATGCAACTCAGAGGAGACAGGTGAGAGAGGGCATTTTAGGACATTTTCTGTGTTTCATTCTGTTTTCTTACCTCTAATCTAGATCATCAGTAGGAGGCTGACACACACTAAAATCACTTTTCAAACTTTTGACATTTATGTCAAATTGAAAACTGCCAAAAATTTATAATATTCTCCATTTACTTCCCTATACCACTTCCAGAGGCAATCACTTTGTTTTAGTTATATCTTTTAGTATTGATCTCTATATTTCTAAATAATGTTTTGCTATGTTTTGCTTTGTCATATTAATAATTTATCAATTATCTACAAACTACCATTATCATCATAATAACTAACTTTAATGTATATAATCAAAATGCATTTTATAAATATATTACTACTAAAGGCCTGGTGCACAAAATTCATGCACGGGGTGAGGGGGTGTCTCTCAGCCCAGCTTGCACCTTCTCCAATTGGGACTCCTCAAGGGATGTCCAATAGTAAAATTGGGCCTAAATGGGCAGTCGGACATCCCTCTCACAATCCAGGATTGCTGGCTCCTAACTGCTCGCTTACCTGCCTTCCTGATTGCCCCTAACTGCTTCTTCCTGCCAGCCTAATCACCCTCTCACCACTCCCCTGATAGCCTGATTGATGCCTAACTGCTGCCCTGCTAGCCTGTTTGCCCCAACTGCGCTCCCCAGTAGGCCTGGTCCCCCCAATTGCTCTCCCCTGCAGGCCTGGGTCACCCATAACTTCCCTCCTCTGCCGCCTGGTCTCCCCTAACTTCCCTCCCCTGCAGGCTTGATGGCCCCCAACTGCCCTCCCTTGCAGGCCTGGTTCCTCCCAACTGCCCTCCCCTGCTGGCCATCTTGTGGTGGCTATCTTGTGTCCACCTGAGGGCAATCATCTTTGACCACATGGGGGCAGCCATCTTGTGTGTTGGAGTGATGGTCAGTTTGCATATCACTCTTTTACGCCCCCCCAAAATGCCTTCCAAATTTATGTTTCATATATAAACTCTTTAATAATTTACATGCAGCCCTTCTCCAGATTCCTGGACCCTTCTAGATGCTGAACAAGACCCCCAGCAGGGTTTGATTCCCAGTCAGGGAACATACAAGAGGCAACTGATCAATGTTTCTCTCTCACACTGATATTTCTCTCTCTCTCTCTCTTTCCCTCTCCTCTCTCAAAAATTAATAAACATATCACCAAGTGAGGATAAATAAATTTTTTAAAAGGCTATATAATAAGAAACAAAGAAGGACCCAGAAATTCTACTTCTAGGTATTTATCTGAAAAAAAACAAAAAACACTAAATTGAAGACATATACATTTATGTTTATTGTGGCATTACTTACTACAGCCAATATATGGAAGCAACCTAAATGTTCACCAATAGATGAATAGATAAAGATGTGGTTCATATACACAATGAATGGAATATGACTCAGCCTAAAAGAGGACTTCTTTCCCTGGCTGGTTTCTCAGTGGTTAGAGTGACAGCCCATGGACCAAAGGGTTGGGGACTCAATTCCCAAGAAAAGGGCATATTGGTTGCAGGTTTGATCATGCCCCAGGCATGTGGGAGGCAACCAATTACTATAATATATCTCTTTCAATTCAATGTCTCTCTCTCTCTCTCTCCCTTTTTCTCTCCCTCTCTTTTGCTCCTTCCTCCCTTCTACTTTCTCTAAAAATCAAATGAAACAATATCTTCGTGTGAGGGTTTAAAAAAAAAAAAAAAAAGGACATCTTGCCATCTGCAAAACACAAACCTAGAGCAGGAGTAGGGAAGTCTGGCCACAGGCTATATAAGGCCCACAAAATCATTTGGTCTGGCCCTGCCAAGGGATTAAGGATGAGCTAATTCAATGTTTGACCAAATATTTTTAAATTTTTTTAAAATATATTTTATTGATTTTTTTACAGAGAGTAAAAGAGAGGGATAGAGAGTTAGAAACATTGATGAGAGAGAAACATCTATCAGCTACCTCCTGCACACCTCCTATTGGGGATGTGCCCACAACCAAGGTACATGCCCTGTCCAGAATCAAACTGGGACTTTTCCGTCTGCATACCAATTCTCTATCCACTGAGTCAAAGCGGTTAGGGCCAAATATTTTTAAATTGATAATTTTGTATGGCCCACAAATGATATTATGAATATCCAAATGGCACTTGGCAGGAAAAATGTTCTCCATCCCTGACCCAGAAGATACTGTGATGAGTGAAATGTCAGACAGAGAAAAACAAATGTCATCTGATTTCACTTATATGTAGAATCTAAAAAACAAAATACACAAACAAACAAAACAAAAACAAACACAGATACAGAGAACATTTTGACGACTGCCAGATGGAGGGGGTTAGGGAGATAGATGAAAAGGGGGAAAAGGATTAAGAAGTACAAATTGGTAGTTACAAAATAGTCATGGGGATGTAAAGCATAGCATATTGTAATAACTATGTATGGTACCAGGTTTTTACTAGTTTTATTGGGGTGATTACTTCATAAGTAATAAATAAATTTATTACTATAAATAAATAAATAAATGTCACTATATTGTATAAATGATACTAATATAAAATTGTATGTCGACTTTAACTGAAAAATCAAAATTAATAAAAATAAAAAATAAAATAATTTGCTGAGAGGTACTTCTATTTTAACAAGACATCAATGAATATAAACTATAATCAAAATTTAAATAGCAATGATTTTCCTCTTTTTTCACAAAAATCTCATTTTTCCTTCACACAATATTGTTGAAGTTCTAAATTTCTATACTATTCAATGACACAGTTTTTATGAAATAAAATTATTTTCTCTATCTCCAAAGCATACAACATACTACCATATAATATATAAAAGAAACTACTTTTTTCCCAAAGAGAAAGCATTTATTGTCGATTTATTTCCAGAAATGCTAAGCACCTAGGAAGAATGAATATGTTCATCTGTGTGTTTCCTCTTGTATACTAATATTCTATTTGAAATTGTGCATTTTATGAAGTCTCACTCACCTCTGCCGGATGCTGAATTATGTACAAGTGGGTAGAGATGTGCAGAGGATGCATTGGTAGAAACGGACATAAACACACTTTCTGAGGCCGGCTAAAGGGCATAAAGAAAAAGAAAGCCTGTAAATGTTTAAAATAAAATATGACAATAACCTAAAACTTGAACATAACCCAACCTTTTTATTTTTTAATCCTCATTGGAGGATTTTTTTTTTCATTGATTCTAGAGAGAGAAGAAGAGAGGGAGAGAAGGAAAGATGGAAAGTGAAGAAGAGAGAAACATCAATGTGAGAGAGAAACACTCAACCAGGCATCAAACCCAAAACCTAGATATGCGCCCTGACTGGAATTATAACCCATAACAACTTAAATATCTGTACACAGGATGAGGCTTCAAAAACTGATAAACACTGGCCAAGACTAAAGTTGCATTTTTTAAAAATGAAACCCTAAGAATGAATTTAATCACCCAGACTTTACATATGAGAATTTGAAGAAAAGATTCTAGTAAATTCTTTATCATCTATTAGATCAAAGTTCCTCCAAAAAATATTTTCTTAGATATCTGTAATTGAACAATACTCATAAATCAGCAGCACAGTCTTTTTATTCATGAAGCAACACTTTTACTAACTTGCATTCCAAATCAAGAACAGATCTCGCCGAAACCGGTTTGGCTCAATGGATAGAGCATCGGCTTGGGGACTGAAGGGGCCCGGGTTCGATTCTGGTCAAGGGCATGTACCTTGGTTGCGGGCATATCCCCAGTAGGGGTTGTGCAAGAGGCAGCTAATTGATGACTCCCTCTCATTGATATTTCTGACTCAATATCTCTCTCCCTTCCTCTCTGTACAAAATCAATAAAATCTATTTTTTTAAAAAGAACAGATTTCATATCAAAGAGAAACTTGGCAACTTTTCTACATCACCTGGAAGTTGGAGGGAACAATATGATGATAAAGTATTAGAACAGTATTACCACCTAAAAGAGATTCTGATCAAATTTAGACATCAATCAACACAGAAAGCTTAATAAATGTGAGTTTCCCAAACAGCAGCCACCAAATTATATTTGCTAGAATTATATCATGGCAGAGTGTCTGCCTATTTTCCCTTTTGCTGTTTACTTTGTTGTTCTTGTTTTACTTACTTTTTAGTGCTTTACTACTGTCTCAGTAACACTTATACTCATTACAAAATGCATAAGGAATAAAAAGGTACACTTCCGATTTGAGCCCTCTAGCTTAGAGCGTTCTCTTCTCTAAGCGTAACCAATGACCAGAAACTTGTGTGTCCTTCCAAAGAAATTGTAGAAACATACATGGATATTTTACCAGTAAACCCTACACCAGTATATCAGTGTATCTTGGAAGTAAATTTTCACAATAGAACACTATTACAGACAGGTGTTATATGACATTACAATAGTGTACAAGTGAATGTGATATTAAAGGGAATTCGAGCAGCATATTAATTACTACAAAACTAACCACTATCAACTCCCTCAGTAATCTTGCTTATGCAGAGGTATAGCCTGAGGTTAAAAAAAAAATGTTTATGCCAATAAACAGAGTGTGAGTAAATTGGTTCAATTATATCTACCATCTCATTCTGCAAGAAACTGTCAAACCTATGCTCCTGCTGAAGAAATTATCTACATGATAATCTTAGACAGAAATATAATCATATTTTACAACATGACCCCACTCCCCTCTCCACCATCAAAACTAAAATTGATGACTAACCAAAGGAAAACCAATATACTTGCTTTCCAATGACATACAAAATGATTTGGTATGATTATTCTGCCCTACACTGGATTCTCTCCCAGGAATGTGAGATTTTAGGAATGGAGTCATTCTGTGGTCACAAGAAGAGTAAACAAAAGTAAACCCAGAAAGAAACAGAGAATAACTGAGTAAACTAGGTATACTGACCAGCATATCAAGGGGGACAATTAGAAAGAATTCATTCAGTAGAATAAAAAATGATGCACATTTCACTTCTAAAACTTTAAGCTTCTGACTTTATTTATTATTTCTGTAATCCTCACCCAAGAATCTTATTGATTTTAGAGAGGAAGGAGGGGGGTATGCTGGGAGGGAAAGAAGGAGAGAGAAGCACCAATGTGAGAGATAAACGCCAATCAGTATGTTTCCAAACCAGGGATGGAACCCACAACCTCACTATGACCTCATGGGGAATCAAACCCACAATCATTCAGTGTACAGGTCAATGCTCCAACCAACTGAGCCACCCAGCCAGGGATAAGTATCTAACTCTTTTATATTTAACTCTGTATATGACTGAAATGCACAGATGTCAGTAAAATTGTTTTATAAAATGTAATTTCAGATCAGATGAAGCCATTTTAAAAATTCATAATTTAATTTACTAACAACTTAAATATCTAAGAATACAAAAGAATGCTTCCCCCCTCCCCCCCCCCAAAAAAAAAAAAAAACACAAAAAACACAACTGTCCTATGCAGGAAACATCCACATATCAATAGAGCCAAAGAACTGCAAATTTCAATCAAGTAAACATGCTAGGAGTAAGCTTCAGATTTCTATGAGTAGCAGAAACTAGGTAAACATGCCCTAAAAATAACATCTTTCGCTCATGATATAAACAATGATTTTAAAAGTCCTTAATATGACAGAATAGTGCAAAGACTTCTCTGATATTGGTAGTTCTGAGTTTCATGTCTGGCCAAAACCTCTGTTCAGAAGAGAAAAAAACAAAAACAAAAAACAATTCAGTTTCTTGAGATGGTAATTTCCTTATTAGAAGTCATTTTGAACTTTAGGAATATTTGGAATTAAGATATTTGGAGAGTTCCACTTCCAGGATGACAGGGAAAGTTGTTTAACAGACTCACTTGCCAGAGAAGCAAGCAAAAACTATTTTTAAAAACAAACATTTAAAGTCTAGAAATTGCCCTGATGACATCCTATCTAATAAAATAGTAATATGCAAATTGACTGTCACTCCAACACACAAGACGGCTGCCACCATGTGGTCAAAGATCCTGCCCCCATGTGGACACAAGATGGCCACCACAAGATGGCCAGCAGGGGAGAGCAGTTGTGAGAGACCAAGCCTGCAAGGGAGGGCAGTTGTGGGCAATCAGGCCAGCAGGGGAGGGCAGTTGGGAGGGACCAGGCCTGCAAGGGAGGGCAGTTGGAGGGGACTGGGCCTACAGAGGAGGGCAGTTGAGAGATGACCAGGCTGGCATGGGAAGGCTATAAGGGGCAAAGAGGCTGGCAGGGGAGCAGTTAGGCATCAATCAGGCTGGTAGGAGAATGATTACGGGGTGATCAGGCTGGCAGGAAGAAGCGGTTAGGTGCAATCAGGAAGGCAGGCAGAGGAGCAATCCTGGATTATGAGAGGGATGTCCCAGATTGGAGAGGGTGCAGGCTGGGCTAAAGGACACAAACTCCTGTGTACGAATTTCATGCACCAGGCCTCAAGTATTTGAATATAGAAATATTATTCAAGAATATCTACTAAAATTTGGTATAGGCAAAACCTATAAGGGTTCTAGTTGCCTATCATTACCAAAGATGAGGTTGAATCTTTGTGGTGCGTTTATTAATCAGATAGCTGGCAATCTGAGAGAGCAGCAGGTGTAACACTCTGAAAAGACCGCTCTGACCCTTCATTTCAAACAAGCTCACAGAGGGTTAGTGGCTGGGGAAAAATCTAAAGTTAGTGAGTTCCTACCCTAGGGTCTGCCTTCTTTCATTGTCCTTGCAAAGAGTAGCCCCTGGAAAGCTGTCTCCCTTCAGAGAGATTCTGTCCTTGATCTGAGCTCCTGGCTATCTTATCCTCAGGGTTTGTTCTTTTTATAATAAGTTGCTCAGTTTCCCAGGGTCTGTAAGAAAATCTCTTCACAGTGAGTAGCTATGAAACAACTGTGATTCAACTTCCCCTCCCCTATCCCAGGGACAGTTTATGGCATCTGGGCCATAACACATTTCCTACCTTGCCCCAGCTCAGGTTGGCAGAAGCTCCATTCCAAGAAGGTGTGGCCAAGAGAACAGAGCTCCCTCTCAGCTCTTAATCAAACTTTACAATATGTCACAGAAAAAGGCAGGTCATCAACTAAGTTAAAGAGGCTAAATTCCCGGGTAGGGTGGCTAAGAGCACAGAGGCTCCCTTTCTCCTCTCAGTCTCCAGCTGTGAAACAGAAGCTTTACCGCAGTGCAGCAGGCTGAGATTGCTGTGGCCCCACTCCTGTCACACCCCACTCCTCCCTTTGCTCATCTGAAGTAGCAAGCCAGAGGCTACTGCCCAGCCCTGTGCCCAGAATAATGACTCAGAGAGTTTGCCCTGGAGGATAGGCAGAATATAAGAGCTCTGAAGTTCTCCCAAGAGTAACTAACTTTATTTGAAAGAGTGAGGACATTCAAGCCTAAGAGTGCCTTAAAAATATTAACTCCTCTAAACTAAGAGCAACAAGCTAAGTCATAGGCCATCTAGTTCATCAGGGGAATAATAAAGAAACAACAGGAAAAGAGATGGCTAAGAAGACCACACCTGCAGTAGAACAAACCTCAAAGAGCAGCCACAAAAACTACCCCTACCAGAATTTAATGTCAGACCAGACCACTGAGCAATTTATGCCTTAGGGGACTACATCAAAATGCATCACAGTCAGCTGGTAATTAGTGAAGTCTAATGGGCACGATTAATAGCAAAAGAAGGCAGCTTTCCCGGAGGAAGATCTGGAGAAGAGACACTGAAAGAGAACCCTAGAATAGTGATTTGCACAATTCAGCTAATAAAACAAAAACCTCCAAATTGTATATGTTAAAGGGATAAATACCATGGCATGTGAATCATCAATATCTATAAAAACCCAGTGTCCAGAGACCAGAACACAGAGCCCCACCCTCCAGGGAGCAGTTGGGGATGCCCCCACCAGTTCCCACAGTTCCCCCAAGCTCCCCCTGACTGTACCTGCCATGTTTACAAAGGCCCCTGGGGTGCTCAGCCCCAGCCTGGTGCCCTGATTTTTAAACCACAGACCTAAGGTCAGGGCAGGAAGAAAGCAGGAAGGAACTTCGCTGGGCCACTTCCAAGAATCTC